CACTGCGATTGAATCGCAGTGATCCACATCATGCAGTCACACGTTTTAACTGGCCCCTTGAGCAAAAACTTCACAGATGGAAGTCAAGCATAGATTTGCTTCACTTACAGGAAGAAATCTCCATTATAATTTCGAAATCTTTTCGCACTACCAAAGCTAGATGACACTGGTGAGTCAGTTATTGGCCTCCTCATACCTGAACTTTAGAGGACCTTATTTAACGTATCCGTGAAGTGGCTGGAAGTATCGTGTCATTACATCTTCACCAGCCAAATTAGAAACCGTAAGATGGTATTACGTAATTTATCCCTTAAGCTATCTTCATTTTCGGACCCACAGCCAGCAAGCCAAGTCGTTGTTCACAGTATCATTAGAGATGCAATTGGATGTCCTCAAAAGCAGGTATAATAACTTCGCGAACGGAAAGCTGCCAGCGCTGCTTATACTCATGAACTACTGATTGGTTCTCACCATGTAAAACAAGCCACTTGAATGAGGTTCGGCTGTTTTCTTTCCAAGCGTCGCACACACATGATCCAGCAATGACGCACATAATTTAGGACCAAAAATAGATCATTGGACTACTGGATCGATATCTCAATTATTTGTAATCACGCCAGCAGCGTGGTGGCATAATATCGGTGAAGAGCAGATACGCATTCTAAAAAACCAGGGCCGATACTATGTATTCATGATTAACCTCGGTCAGGCTACTGACTAGCGTGAATGAGTCTTCACTGGCGTGACCATCATCGGCAATGACACTATGGATCAGATGCGTGATCTGCTTTGTCATTGTTTGATCAGTTCCCACTGATTCCCAGTCCAGTAATAAAATAGCCACACGACCAAACCTGCTTCTACAATGCTGATCGAAACAATTGGACGAGTTTTTCATTTCAGTCTACCCGTCTGGTCCTAAGACAGAAGTACATAGCCAAAGGATAAAATCTGAGGGAGGTGCTGCTTTTAGATGAAGTGATTATCCATTAGCGAGGCATACCCAGAGCTGTATGAGTAGAAGCCTTCAGACCGCCAGTGTAGACAATGGTACCACTTGGTTGTACTAATTCTCGTGCCATAAGTGATCCTTCATTTTGAATTTATTAATTGGAATAAGATAAAGTAAAATATCACGTCAAAAAACCGTCTAATGTTCTGTAATGGGTGTTTATAGACGATAGGCATTTTAACTCTACACGAGCGCAGTTACGCGTTACTACTTGAAGTTTTTATGAGATTTGTTTCCATGATCGTTCAGTTTGACGGAAGCTGTGGGCTTGCGATAACAGATTTGTCCTACATCTAAACCGAGTACCATAAACCTCTTTATGATTCTTTACTTCTGATCGTTAAATTTAACAGTAGTGAACAGTGAATTTTTACGCAACTCTAGCAGTGAGTTTAATTCAGTTTCTGTCTGGACTTTTATCTCATGATGGGACCTTGGATAGTGAACGCCCTTTATTTTAGTGAGTAAAGGCCATTGGGATGCTAGCTGAGTTTTCAGTGAGTTGAGTACAACACTATTAGCTTACGCAGTGAATGACGAGTGGTTTCATCGCTTGAATGGGTACCCGTCCGTTGTTTGTAATGCCTGGGTCCAGAAAAACTGATCGACTGCGTGTGACTATATAACTGCTTCTTTTTTAATGTCGAGTTAATTCTTCCCTCGGTGCTTGTAGTGCGTATGCTCAGCGTGAGGACCTTTTAACTCGATGCGCTAGCTGACAGATTTCCTTGGTGCTTTAAGGCTATTCAGACAGCCTCTGGTATCAAACAGCTTGATCGTAGGCGTGCAGCGGAATCTCCAATCGATCCGTTTTCTTCGGTTACCTCTAACCAACTGTGCAGTGCAAGCACTCCTCCTGGATTCAGTCGGGTATATATTCGACACCGGAACAGATTGTATTTCGTCACAGTCACTCTATAAAAGGTTGTTCTCAGCCAAACTTGTGTGTGGCACATGCTCATTGGCAAGCTGGGAACATTCACAAATTATCCATCCATCTACCTGGATGACTAGTGGAAAATGATCTCGATAAATAAAGCCCCCCAACACGCAATATTTCTTAACAGGCACTAAAGGACACTGCTCGTTGTGAGTGTCTCAGTAGTTAAAGGGCTACATATATATAATAATTCAAATAATGCAGTTCTACCTTAATGTACTCCATTGAGATGATTGACCAAAGGAAAGGAAACTATTGTAAAGAGACTTCTGTTCATATTTCCAGATTCGAGGCATGCGCCTATAACGTATTTTAAAGCGAATAGATGGATCCTAGTTTGATGGATAGCTTGAACCCGATGTGTGAAATGAAGCCGGACTCCGATACAAAAGTAACACGTTAACCAATTACAAATAGGCATCTACATTAGCATGGAGCAGCATATGGGATTTCCAGCCCTAGCTGGTGTGAAAAAACCCAAGGTAGATAAATCACACGAAAACAGCCGCTTCCAAGAAACTTTCGTAATCACTCTCCGTTACGTCCGTTAATTCAGTGATGTGCAGGACACAGAATATCTTTTGGTTTGGTGCACTCCAGGACTCGCACGGGGATTCCAAGTGTATAAAATTCAAGAGAATGAAACTACTGTTCAAGTGCAGTCTTACTAATAGGCGTACATGACAGGCGTCGGCGAAGACAGCACATTCATGCTCGAACTACGCCAAAAGGGAAATCGCTTAGATCAAACTATGCTGTCTAGCCTCAATCCGCTAGAATTATAGAGCTAACACTTCACGCTGTGCATCCACATTATGCAACACTAATCCAGTTCGTTTGGCATATTTAGATAAACAGGTTCGCTATCCTTACCCGGAAAGAAAATTATGGGAAATACTGGAAGACCATTCCCTAGTCGATTATCGGTGAGCAGACTGTCCCAATAACTTCTCTACATCCATTTGAGTGCCCAATGCGTACGGTGCTTGGAAAGGAAACAAAATGAACCTCACCAACGTGACTTGTTTTACGTGACGGGAGCCAGTCAGTATCAGCAGTACAATCGACTTTCCTGCTTCTGTAGTCATAGTTTCTTTAGTTGACCTAACTTGTCCATTTAAACAAAACATGTGAAGGGTGTTGGAACAACACGCCATACACGAGACCGACCCAGCGTAAGCCTTCAGCAAAGCGGTGCGGCTAAAAACTGAGGGCATGCCTGCCATCGGGATCACTCAATGACAGTATCCTGTAGGTACACTTCAACTATATGTATGAACTCCAGTCACGAAGGCGGACAAACCCCGAGAACATCAGCCGCACTCATTTTGCACTGTCGCGTCATGGCCTGTCACCCCACCCGCAGTTTTCGCCAACTTGGGTCTGGGAGAGAAATCACAATTTTTCAGTAGTCGAGGGCTGGGCATATCCGCCGCTTCTGTGATTCCGACTCATTACTTGCTACTCGCTTGTGGGTCATGCCATTAAGGATACAGTGAAGCCAGATAACGCATCGGCGATAAAACGCTTGGGTTCTTCGGATCGTGGAGGCCGAGCCTCACAAACACAAAACTACTCTGACAGTTGTTTTGTAAGGATGGTCCTTCAGCTATGGTGAAACCCGTCTCTGACGATGAAGAGGACACAAACGCAGTTCACGCCCTAATGCTTGCCTTGGCTTCATTTGTCACGGCGCAACCATGGTCTATGGAAATCAACCGAATTCGAACTCCTCGCCAAAATCTTTCAAAAGGTTGGATAAAAAAGGGAATGGGGAGTCCCCAACTTGCCTATACCAATCGGCAATGCAATCGGTCCACATTGGCTGTGGTCAGGGGCTACGAAAACAAAAAACATGACTACGGGTCCTCCTTACTACAACACATTAGTTAGGCGTAGTTCCCGAGCTTTCGTCAACTTTGTGTTCGAAATGAACCCAAACGAAATTCGACAAACTGGTGTGCAAGCGAGTGCATTTGGCGAATAGCACGACTGGTTAACCTCACCTTCAAAACACATACAAGACCGTCTCGCCATGAATAACCAGACAACTTTTAGTATGTCGATCTCACCATTTCAAACGTCAGTCGATCTCCGGTCCTTTTGCCTTCTGTTGCTGACAAATTTACATACAATGATCGAAGCATTGAGCTATAAAACTCTGCCCTTTACGATGTTTTTCCACCAATAAGCAATCTAACCAAATATCGTACACAATGCGCAATCTATCCATACTGGATACGGAGCGAACATTCTGGAAGGAACGTGTACTAGTTCCACTGGTGTCCGTTTTTATGGAAGCCGACAAGACGACGGAGAGAGGACGGCTGTTTACGGAGATCAGATACATGAGTCAAACCTTGCACCAGGAGAGGAATGCCTACGCGGGAACAATCCTCCCTTCAAATGTATGCATCCCTTAAGTTCATTAGCTATAGGGTCTAGAAAACAGTACCGTAAGGTCGGTGGCGGACCAGGTTTCGTAAATGCAACAAATGACCATCGATGTGCTGTCATGAACACGCTCAAAAGCGACCTGTTCGTTGACCTGCCTGATAGACCGCACTTTGAAGGTTGCAATGGCCACCCAAGAATGGGGTTCAGGTAGCAGGCGCGAAGCGACAGATACGAGGGCGTCTTACTGGTCCCTTCCTTGGAAGTGATAGAACAATCGTTGAACGGCACAGGAAGGACGGTAGGTGTCAGCAGAGACCTATTTTCCGTTACACAATCTGATGTATGCAGCAAGTGAGGCGGCTCAAATACTGGCACCACACGATGACTCATGGTATGACTACTTATGTGTGCAACCCATGGTTATACATGAGATAATAACGGGGAGTTGAACTCTAGACAGAAGGACGACCAGGATTCTTAACTTAAGTTTATATCATTTTATTTATCAGCCAAACAGTGTACTGGTGCGCAGCAAGATATCCAGTGAGTTATAGAAATGACTTTACAGCTAAGAAACACGGGAACAGTTGACCCGATCCAGTCACTGCATTGAAACATTTCAGCAACAGTATGATTCAAGAGTTCTGTAGAATGACTTTTATCTGTGTTTATAACGGGAATCTATGTACAGCATATCAGAGGAATCACAGTAATGTCCTCAGGCTATGCAAAATAACTACAACAATGGTTGTGCTGTGCAATTCACTCATGCTGAGACCCTCAACGCCCGTTCCAAATGCTCACGGTCGGTACCAAAGTGGTAATAGTGTGGTGCGAGCTCCAGTAACCAGTCCGGTTGAATAGCACTGACCCCACTCACGCATGTAGGCAATCCATCGCCAGAGGAAGAAATACGCCTCGAAGTATCTTCGGTTCCGGCAGCTGTATCCGTAGCCAGAAACACGTTGGTAAAGAGGATCCAGGCAGGCCATTTGGCACAAGAGCTGTACAACACGCAATTGGGGTGTAATCGGAGCTGGTGATCCCCACGAACAGTAAGATAGTGGGATCCTGATGGAGCTAATCGTGCGACCTAGGTTGGAGAGAGACACGTGACATGTGAAGGGGTGGGGGAGATTACCAGTGACACAGAAAGGTGCAGTCTAGTTCATCAACAAGGGTGCTCATTCAGTAATAAATTATGTTTGATTGGTTTGAGGACCGTTCAATCAGATGACCAACTTCGACAGATGTTGCAGTAAGTCTACATAGTGGCTAGTAGCGTTCACATTCATGCCTGCCAAAAGATTAGAGGTATACGCAACTAAGGGAATGCAAATTTAGTGCCTAGCAACCGCATCATACTCTTTGGGCATCACAAGCCCAGATGCCCAATCATGCTATCTTTTGAATTTGGGTACCTGGACATTAAACTTAGTGATGTCCACTTGTCCTGCAGCATCCTGGCTCATTGTGGGTTAAAAAGCGCGTCCTTTCTAATAATCTATATGGTTTCCGTCGATTACGAAATCAAGTTACCTCAGCTCTGGCAGACGTGGACTTCTTTTCTAACAATTTGTTTGAAAATCTGAATCCGGTGTACATCTTAAGATACAAAGTGAATACACCCACTTGGGCGTACATTATACGGCGGACTAAACCCCATGAATTAAAATAATACACAATCGCACACTGAAAGCCAAAATGCTTCTGGTCATTGATTATAACGGTCACAAAATTCCCGCAACGAACGAACCCAAAGGGCCATCTTTCTGATGTGTTAACTTTGTTCACACCACATTCACCTTACCGTGGGAATGCCCTCTGGAGTATGCCACTGATTCACATGAGTTTACAGTGAAAATCTCACAGCAAAAACGCAAAACCGTCACAGACAGTGATAATACATTCATCGTGTGGTGTATTTTATTGTTGGTGCCGGTCGCACCATACTCAAACAGACCAAAGATAGTGTCGTGCTATAGAGGAATATGAAGATCTGAAAGTTCCAAGGTACCGAAAGCGAACATGAATAAATGGGCTATCCGATTTGACGGGGGATAGGCGCAAAGGGGGATCGAAGTGATAGGCCGGGAGTTACTAGCGACGGAGTCGAACAAGATGCATGTAGAATTGCAGTTCGAAATGGGTACTTTGCATTTCACCGTGTTTCCTTTCCGCTAGTTGAGACCTGGCTAGTTTTCTACTAATTGAATTCATACTTTTCGAATACTGGATTTTAGCAGTTCGTTGTTTAGAGCTCCTAGTTCCCGGAATGCAGACACTGACGAATTTGATTAGCCCTGACCAGAAGGAGAAATGTGGGTAACAACACTGAGGTTGACTAGACGTTAGACGTGTGGTCAACCATTATATGGACCAGGAGTGCATTGTTTTATTAAATTTTTCACGGAAGTGTTAAGCTAGCAGTGGAAACATCGGCGACACTAAAGTCTAGACACTACCGGAAAGCCTGAAAAAATTGACGAAAGTAGCAAGCTTTGGAGACGATTTGGAACTGTCTCGCACAGTGGAAGGATATAAATCAGGCCGTAATCGTCTGTTGAGTGCTTGATCGACTTCACTGCCAAGGTTGGTCTTTTGAAATGCAGAGAGAGAACGTATTTTGAATGCCCTTCATTCGAACGTGGAAACCATAACGAAGTGAGTCAAGAGATTTTGAGGGTGGGTGACAGCTAGTATCGACATCGTGGAACACGGATGGACTAGTTTGTGCCTCGGAACTTCCCCTGACGATCGAAAGGCATGTAATTCCGCTATGGGAGATTTGTTGGAATTGCGTGGCAGAGTTTTGGTCGTGATTTGACCGTGCCACAGTACCTCTCTGCATTTTGATTACTATTCCAAATTACGTATGCCTTCCAACACTTCAGTCCAAAACAGTTGGCGAATTTTTTCAACCAATGAAGCGACGTAGCAAGCGACCAAAGGACCTAAAACAAAAACTGGTAACGTGGAGTGTATACCTGATGGAAATAGCCGCGCACCAAGGCGCGAAGAACAGGTTCCGGGTTTCCTTCGGGTTCAGCTTTGACCCAGGGTAGTTTTAACCGATGGAACATGGCTCCGATCCGATCACGCAGAGTGACCGCGTGCACCAACCCTTTAAAGTTCAATCCAGCATCCCGACACCAGTTGCGCAGTTCACTCGGTGAGCAGGTCTGAGCTTGTTTTTCATACGCAGTGAAAGCGTTCAATTCGGTCAGATGGTCCCCCTGTCGGCAACCAAAAAGTTGTCTTCGCAAACGATCACCCTGACGTCGCTGACCTTGTGCACTAACGAACAACCGCTGAATCTACAAAAATGAAGCAGACCGGAGCATGTACTCGAATAATGGCTTGCTGGAAAGATTAGTCGTCAGAAGACAGTACAAAGTAGAGAAACTGTTCCTTAGAAATTTTGCAACTGAGAGATGGTGAGAGGGGGTGAGATGGCTCAGTAGTTAGGGCACGAATTTACTGACCGGAAGGTCCGACTCTCCACTTCCCCTGTCTAGGTTTAGGCAGCCTGACAGTATCCCAGCTCTCGTTGCTTCTTTCTCGTTGCATGGCAGTTAGGCAACAGAATGCTGCAGCTGAACGATTTTATTTTTATTTTTTGCAACTGAAGGGTGACGGATTTCAGTGGGGACGTGAGACGAAGTTTAAAAAAGGGATGGACATACCCCATAAACTTCGAAGTTTGACCAGACTGCATATCTGGAGCATTAGGTCTGACAGGCTGCGCTAACCTACGCCAGTGAGTGGTGAGTGCATTGCACTGGTCTCAGTAATGGCCTGCGTGCACTAAGTCGGTAAGTGGATTGGGTGCAGATGTTGAAGACATAACCTATAGGGTTCCGCCAACGTAGAGCAGTAGTGCTTGACTTGATACAACATGAGAGAGCACACTACTAAAACCAACCAACAGTGTTAACTAGACAAAAGCTTTAGCTGAATGCTGCGAATGACGAGCCAAGCAATTTGTTCTATACGGTCTGCTGAACACGGCACTATGTAAGGCAAGGAACTCCGAATTAATCCAGGTCCCAAAACTAACTTTTCTGCAACATGATGTGGAACCATAAATCAGTTGCGGTCCAAATGAAATGACTAATTGATCAGGTTACGAACGGAAACCCCTGCTTTGTGCCAGTTACATTGTGGTCATGACTTGGTTTGCCTAATTATCATACACTAGTGATAAGAAGCGACTCCATAAGAGACACTCAGAAGTGAGGGCACAAGAATGTTCCCAATCAGTCATCCTAGGAGGGGCCAAAAAACTTGTTTTCCCGCAGTGTTCTCTCTTCGACTGGATTGCTGTATCAACATGGTCTTCCATAATATGAGCACACAGGAATTACAAATACCCCGGTAATCATAAGCATAGAACATTTCAGTAAACAATCTCACAGAAACTTATGGCAAGCTGATACAGACTGCTCTAAGTGCAATGCTCACTATTCTGCAAGCAAGCCATCAAGCTTAGCACAGGTGTGGGTGAGAGAGGAAGCCGCAGATAATCTATGGTACGATAAGCATCGTTCCAATCTCCATAGGAACCTCAAATTAGCTGCAACTCAATCTACTCTCCTCGACGGGGTTTTTAAAGGCTAGGTACGATGAGTAACAATGACGAAAGCGGACAAGTGCTGTTTGGGGGTGTCCTGGTACTAGTATTGAGAACAGGCAATTTGGTTTAGAACAGAAAAATTAAACATAAATAGCGATACTATCAGTGGTTCCGGGGGAAGCAGTTAAGTCAAATTACCTGCATCAGGGAAACAACGGCAGCAACTTCCTGAGAACAACCTTCCTCACAAGATCCTAGGAGTGCAGCTGCGGCTGACGGCTGATCTAGCCCACATGCGGTAGAAACTTCGGCCAGCTTCAAACCGCGTGGTACGGTCAGACGTCCAGTGTCTGGATCAAGAGCCCCAAGAGCAACCAGACGTTCAGCTGCTTGTCCCACATGGCTTGGAGGAGGGGGATCCAACCAATCAAAACGTGCAAGACGGTCGACACCCAGGGTCTTTAAGCGTAATAACGCACCGGATAGATCGGTACGTAGTGATTCTGGAGGAGTGAAGCGTGGGAGCAGACTGCGATAAACTTCTTCAGTGTAAAGTCGGAAGGTCTGTGAGCACATAAGGAGACAAAGGAATAACGGAAATTCGGAGCAAGCCACACGCACTTTCAATGGGTAATCTCACATCCGTAGTCACTCACTGGCCATACTGCTGTTTCAGCACAACTGGACTCTAAGCTGTACCGTGGATTTACAAAGCTGATCTTGAAATGAATCACTTCGTGCATGAGCAGCTGACTAGGCAGGCTCATTGGATCAGCTTGCCAAAGACAAGAAACATATGTCACTGTCAGCAGGATACAAACTGAAGAAACTGATGATTTGCATACAGTAACATCAACAGAAACAGCGACAGAAGCACTGATAGCAGTAAGCTAGCAGTAAATATGAAGACCAGACGGTCACGCGATTTTAGGAGGAAGCAAGGGTGCCCCGAGTAAAACAGAATATATGAGAATTTAATCAACTCCCATTTGTTAAAACTGTGCGTCTACGTTTTGTGGGCAAAACTCCACAGGACATTTCTCTTCATATCTGTCCAACACCGACTAGCAAGTGAACAACGAACATAGCTAAATCACCGGGTCAACAAGTGACAACTTATCTTTCTTTAGGATTCACGGACACAGGCCGAGAACCTCGAGGCGGTTGGTAATAGAGTGATCAGAACCTGAATGCATTTGGGAATGCAAGACGCGTTTTCCGAAGGCGCACGCAGGACGAACTTGAATCATAAGGTTCGAACAGACACAAGCGGATTAACATAAATATATCGCTGTCGAAAGCACACCGCTACACAACGACAATCTGATGTCATCCAAACTGACAGTGGAACGTACACAGCCAAGTTTCCAGGCGTGGTAAATAAACTGACGCAAATCCGATGTCCGCCTCAAAACCAGGCGCATGCGTCCACCCATGAGGGATGGGACTGGTTTGCCCCAAACTTCGAGCGACGCGGAGCCCCCTGATGGAGAAATCGCAATGGGTAGATCATTCGACCGACAAAACCAGGAGAGTTTCCGGGTCACTGTTCGAGGCACCAGGCGAACCAAATAGATAGTTAGTTCAATGACGAACACATTCTCCTGATCGGACGTGATAAACCAGGTCAGTCCAATTTGCGTAGATGGTATGCTGTGTCGAATCCATACGTATCGAGATATAAGGAAGCTATGAGTCCGTCGACTCACCACATAAAATGTAAACTTATGGTGTTCTAGACTTGTCCTTTAAACCCTTGACAAATCAGTTGGGAGTTAGCTTCAAATAACCTGTGCGAACCTGTACGCTGCACATACGTGCGAGTTATTGATCAGGAGGCATGTACAGGTGTCCAAGCTTCGTGGTTCGCTATCACAACAATGTGCCAAGTCAAGATTGGCCACTCATATACGGCCTGCAATTGAAGCACGTGAAAATGAAAGGTGAAGTCAAGTGTCAGCTGAACTGATGGTCGTCTGTATTCAAAGGCAGGAACTGTTGAATATATTGAACTGCGCACTACATGACATTGATTAACATGGTTGCTCTAGGAAAGCAATCACAAGGATTCTAGGGTGTGCGCTAGTGACTGCGTCAGTTTTGTGCAATCCCATCGTGGTCAGCTCATCCGTGAGATTTGGCTAAACAGGATGATGCGTCGATAGCTCAATAGCTAAGATACATTAATTCTGATAGACCCTACTGGTCTCATTAGAATGTTAAGTGTTTTTTCGTCAAGTACAAACGAAGAGAACAATCGTACCTTAATCTAAATTGGCCGTTCAGCTGTAAGACCTTTTCATTACCTAGCTTCCATGCCGTTCGAAAGAAAACACGAGGGCTAAGATACTGTAAGGTTGCCCCAGACTGAACAGAAACAGCCGAGATGCAGAGTTTGAGTTTGAACCGGTCAGTAATTTCGTGCCCTAACTACTGAGCTATCCCGTAGCTCAGTGGTTGGATATCGTTGACAGCCGCAGAAGAGTGTTTTAATAGTATTCATGGTGGACGCATCAGTAGTAGCTTGCGAATTCACAACTAACGGCAAGTAACAAAGAAAAATACAGGCAGCGGTCGACTCATTCCAACAGAACAGTACGTGTATAATTGCTGGGGACCAACGTACCCTAGTAGGTGTCGTGACACTTATACTCATACTATCATATACTGCGAAAACGGAGTCCAGCTGTTTAGGTATACGTCCTTCAACGAGTTACACATCACAAACCCTTATAGGAGGTCTACGACTACGGGTTACCCCCCTGTAACCTAGTTAATCGATGGAATGGCATCCACTTTCGGATTGGTCTGTACCCATCCGAAAACGAACCACGCCGGCAGACCCTCGCGCACAGTGAGCAAGGCCACATGTGGTTTGCGCTGAGCCGCATGTGTATCTTTCTGAACGCCTTGTACTCGGTGTAAACCTGAGGGAACATGACCCGCGAGTGAACAGCACGGGGCAGCTCTAAAGTCCATTGAAGGCCCGTAATTGTCACGTGTGGACGGTTGAACAGTTGAGACCAACAGCACAGCCGAAGAGTGGTTTGGTGGCTCACGTCATTCATGAATGTCTAGTGCTAGGGCGGGCCATTTGCAGACGGATACACGAAATACACACAAGCAGAACACATAAATTCACAACTCAATGCAGTACAATAGAGCACAGCATGTGCAAAATCGAATTCAGATAGCGAAGAAAACAATGATTAGCCTGGCAACCCAAATTGGAGCCCTTCAGTGCAGAATCATCACGGCCCCCTTGGCTGGTGGATACAACTAAACAGTTGATACTCAACGTGTGCAAAAGGCAGCTTGGTGGTCTCAAGCAAGAACGCATAGGTAAGCTAGCATTTGTCACCCCGGAGTTTCGTGAACAACGCACTGCTGATGATTCCCAATAAGGATGAAACATCCATACAGTGCTTATCGGCTTGTCAGCATAGATTGGCTTCACTTACAAGACGAAACTTCCACACTACCAACTGCTCACAATAATTGCGTTTGTACCACGATGGCCACATAAGGTCACTTCCAGCACCGGTCTAGGCTTAATATTCCGAAATAGTAACGGGCACTAGGGTGGAGCTTCGGAGATGGGAACAGCCCAGTAACTCAACCCAATAGTGTTCATTTTGGGGAGACGCGCTGGTCCTGCATTATTAATAATGATTACTATAATATAATATAATATACATGATATAATAGTATAATAAATAATATATATTATTATTATTAATATTAACATCCACATGACGTTCTTTACTTAGTTAGTCCATAAGATGATCACTGAAATTCGCTTTTGGGACCATTGCGGGCTTAGTACACCGCATTGCTCGGTGTGCAAGAGCCTTCTTGTCGGTCTTAGTCTATATGGTGACCGGCACAGAATGTCATTTCTAGCACTGTCGCAGTAGCTATCCTTTAACACTAGAAAGCTAAGGCGTTTCCCTAATTGATCACTGTATACCGGCTGGTAGCCGACTAGTTCCAGGTGACTAGAAAAAACACACCAGCAGTCGCTGGAGAACTAAATTGGCCGGTCAGTCACCAAGTCTACCAGCTCCGGTGATATCCTTCAGTCTTGCACGCTTCGAGTCTTTGGCTCGAAGTTGATAATCGCTGAATTTAGGGACCCATTTCTTATTGTTTCCGCCCATACGCTCCGTTTGCTGTAACCACTTCCCACCACAAGAAGTTCACACCGGCAGCCATCGGACTTTTGATCACACGGAAGCCTTCGCTTGCCAGGTTCATTTCTTCGTATTCAGTTGAACAGACAGAAGTTTTGGAATCCTGTTCCCCTTCATTCGTCAAACATTCCAGCCACTGTGGGTGATGGACGAGGACCTCCGCACCCAGCACTTGTTCAGTCCAGTGAAGACCGAGTATTTGAAGCAGACAGCTCATGTTGGATCTGCTCAAGTATCAGAGGTTGCGCTGGTAGGCGATCAGTGTTTCATTACCGTACAGGAGGGCAGGTAGGACCATCAATTTTTAGACGCACAGGTCGGTCTCTATTTACAGTCCCGGCTCCTTTATATGCGTTTCTCGACCTTCCCAAAAACTACATTAGCCGTGGGAGCATGGAATCTCAGATCACGGTCAACGGTTAAGTCAGGAGACAATGTGATAATAATAATGATCGTTCGGCTGGAGCCCAACGGTGCCTATCTGTCATGACACCTGAAGGAAGCACGAGTGCTGAGATACTGCCAGATTGCCTAAGCAGTCGAGATGCAAAAGTTGGGTTCGAAACACGGACGGAGGAACGGCGGGAGTTTCGACTGGCACGTGCTAGTGCATAACCAAATTCGTCTTCGAGTTGATGCGCAGGTCAAACTGCTTGGCAGAGGCACTAAAATTCTCAACTAGGGGTTGCAATCAAACATGTGTATATACGAACAGGATGCGGTCGTCTGCCAACACGGGAATGCAGACCTTGGTCTCGTGAACCAGATACCTCACGGTTGAAGTCCACTATCAAAAAGACGTCTGTCAAGTTGATACTAGAGCTGCACATTAATATCGTTTTCCCTAAGGCCGCTAGACACAGACTGAAGACGCAAGGACGCACCCCTGTTTTACTCCGGTGGATTTAAAAATCAACTAAAGTGGATCCATTCTTTTGCACCTTCAATCTCATTCTGTCACGTAAGATTCGGGTGGAATTGATGAATTTTGGCGGAAACCCGTATTTGGAAAGAACGATCCACAATGTTTCTTGGTTAATGGAGTCGATGGCTTTGAGGGCACTGAGCGAAAAATCCCTATGGGTTTTTCTTGTAGCTGTCGTGCAGCAAATATTGAGCCCACTGTGCTGTGACCAACAAAGAATCCATATTGTTCTTCTCGGGCGTGTTGCTCAACCGATTTACCTGCCAGGCACTTCATCCATCTTTCTTCTTTTCTTCACAATAAGGCCTTCAAATAAATCATGAACGTTCGGTAGCGAATCATCAGTGTTGAATAATGTCATGCTGCCAATGAGTATTTACTTGTCGGGCGGTTGAGTACCGTAGTGTTGCCAAAATTGGGGCTAATTTGAAGATATAGTTGTAGGTAGCGTACGTAACGGACTCTGAGTTAAGAAGAGGGACATGAAGAACAAATCACGGGTAAAGTGATATCTCCTTATGCTACCAAGTCATTACACATGAATATCAACGGCTTTGTTGGATAAACCAATATGATCAGAAAGACCGACACCGACACTTGTCTGCCGTGGAAAGTGAAACTACTGCTGGAATTCGAACCTCCGAGATGCCTTTGCACCTTACGTGCTAGAGATCATGCATCCACCGATAATCAATTTTTTTCAGTACACAATTCTGAGAATCAGTTCATTCCTAAAGTGAGCGGGATGAAAGACTCAAGGTACATGATCATTGGCCCAATAACAAAAATAATGGTCATCCAAGATGTAGCGGTCAAATGCATAGTTGGTTGCGGAGTGCCTTCGAGGAAAGAGATCACAAATACCACAAGACACTGAACGACCAATAAAAGGAAGTTCGGGCGACGGATAACGTCAGTCCTGCTACCGATGTTCCAGTCGAGATGTCTCAGTGGTTAGAACGCGGATTCACTGACCGGAAAGTCCATGGTTCGAACCCGACCTCTGCATCTCGACTTTCCCTAGCTAGGCTTGAACAACATGGCAGTATCCCAGCTCTCGTGCTTCCTTCGGGTGGCATGGAAGCTAGACACCTAAAGGGTGTTACATCTAAACGATTATTTTTTATTCATGAACTGTCGCGGCTTTCAAAACCCTAGGGAACACCATAGTATTAGACGGCGTGGCCATCCGAATCGTCTGCCTTAGGCAGGCACAGTATGCACAAACGACACGACAAAGCATTTGACGATCCACAACCTAGAGTCTCAGTGTTACCACCATGTCTTCTGCTTCCAATTCATTCTAAAAAGACCGCCAATTGAGCAATGAAAAACATTTAGAATGGCCTTTAGTATGTCAAAATAGTGCCCGGATTCCCGCTGCCAAGTGACTACCCGAAAAATATATGTGGTCGTTATAAAGCTAAAAGGAAATATCTTTTGGATGAACCTTACTTCTACAGGCATGCTGCTGCCATTCCATCCGTTAACTGTAGAGACAGACTATCGGGGACATGTCAATGAGTAGTGTTTCCTTTCATACCTAAAACCCATAAAAAGTGGACTGAAGAAAGTTACGCTTGCTTATCTTGCTTTAAAACCCAGCTATAGAATACTTCGAACTATATGAAAGCAAAATTGAACTTCTGAAAAAGGCGGCTTGAAATGTGAAACATGTTGCAGCTTGTGACTGCTGGTTTACAAGATTCACATCTGACGTGCATAACACGATAAGCTGTTGAACGCGCCAACGGCTAAAATAGCTCCAACTACCAGCCAAACACGTGGCTTGTAGATATAGTGCGAAAACCTCACTTTGAACTCATCAGACTGATGGGATCGGGATAACGAAAGCAAGTTTCTGTTGTTTGCTGGGTAGAGCTCGAAACTGGGTTCAATACAGCCAAAAGTAGCGTCCAGCATGCTTCTCTGGATTTCAGAACGGATAACTGTTCCTTCAGATCGCACGCTAATGGCTGTAATCGGAGATGTGCAACAAGCTGGCTATTCCCCCAATAGTAGCCAGCCGCTACAAATCAAAAGTAAAGAAACTTCACTTCTGTGGTCAACCTAAGGTGAATAATTTATCAGTGAAGCCATATCCAGTACGGAAACTCAGTTCGCCTTCCGGGAAGTACAACAGAAACATTTTTTGATGAATGGTGTACGTGAGGTAAAACAATCATCTATCTGACTAACGTCTCTAGCTGGCACCTAAGTGAGGTTGTGCAAGGGTAGTGTGTCTATGACCAGCCACAGAACATTGATCAGAGCGCCGTTTTGGTAGTTGCCATAATCTTATGAGTAGAAAACAGGCAACTGGGTCGTTTCATATCCCTAGAGTTGTCTTCTGAGCCTCGCGTCTGCGGATACAATCCTACCAGTGAACGTGCCTTTATAGCGAGCGAAATAAATGAGAAAAGTGAGCTAAATACGAAAAATAAACTAGAAAACAAACTACTTCTTGAAACACAATCTTCAAATTATCGGTGAAATCGCTGCAGTAATTTGTATCTGGAAAACTGGGAAAACAATATTTCGACTGTTAAGAGTAATGGGACTGTCGTTCAACTTGCCTCGCCCGTTCGAGTGCGCCCAGCACGTCCAGCGCGCTGACGAGCCGAAGCCTGGGAGGTAGGTACAGTGACCAGTGCCTCCAGGCCCGTCGTAGCATTGTAAGCTTTTAAGCGGGCGAAACCGCAGTCAACCACGTACGAAATTCCGGGTAAAGTGACAGAGGTCTCGGCTATATTAGTAGCCACAACAACTTTACGACAAGACCGGGTGGGTCGATCGAAGATACGCAGTTGATCACTCTGTGGTAAGGAACCATGGAGCGGAAGGCATCGCAAGGGTGGATAGGAGATAGGTTGTTTAGATGGTTTTTCTGTTGCTTTGGACTGCAAGAATCGTTCTTTGCGAGCCCGATACTCGTCAACCAATTCGCCAACCAGCTGAATGACTTCATTTTGACCTATGACACGACAAAGTTATGGGGAAAAATATAAACACTGCCACAAAAATACAAGGGTTGTAGCAAGCAACAGAAACTAAGAAATCTAATGTGGTCCAACACGTCCGACCGTATACGGTTGTCATTGAAATTAATAATTTACGACCATAGAACCTGTCTTCGTTAGTTAGATGTGAGTTAAAGTATTATGGGATGACGACGATGAGACCAGTTTAACTAAAAACACCATCGCACCGCAAATAATACCAAGGGAGCTTGCTGTGCGGAGCATACACCATTCACCAAAAAGCGCACGCACTCGTCTGCTGCTTTAGCCTAGACAAAATGCGGTTGATGTCTTTGTCAGAGTTTTAGGTTACCTGCCAAATTATATACATAATATATCACCTCAATATCATTTCGCTCGCTAGAACAAGCGAAATTCATCTAAAACAAGCCAAGATACGACAAGTCTCAGTTTGTGACTGAATAAAGCTCTCACCATCTCTTACACGTATGCGATGATAGCAGGGTGATAACCGTCTCACGGAACCACAGAACAGAGCAATCAAAAAGATAAATGGTGTGCTTGGTGTGCTGTTATCGAGTGTAGCGCCCAGTTCCCAGCGGAGGATATAACCAAATGAATAACGGCTTAACTGCCAACTAAAAAACACCTCGTGTATCAATCGAACTGACTGAGCGATGGGAAGTTGACTGGTGATTAGTCCAACCCGAAAAAAATATTAGCAGTCATGCATAACTCAATATTTTCCGCGGGATAACGGCAATACTTCCATCCAAGTTGGTCTACAGCCGTACAGTGGTTATAAAGTAAGGTAATCGTAGAAATTCTAATTTGTATCTGGCCTGACATTCAACTGAGCAACGCGAGAAATGAGAAAGTGCTTTTCTCATGGAGAGGGAGTAATAGAAAGTGCTTTCAAGATACTCCCCACTGCAGACAATGTGACATTCCCTCTGAACTGTCTTGTGGAATAGGAATGTGCATTTGGCACATGTCCTGCCAGTTATGCTCATCCCAATCGATCTCATTGAACAGCCAAGTAACCTGCAAGCTTTCGATATTTACATACTAATTTGGTTTTCACGGGGGACTCTCATTTACGGTAATCTTCAACTGAATTTGCTGCACAAAGGCCGCTTTATGTTTCAGTTGGTAGGATATTCGAGATACCGCGGCATATTTTTATGAAGGGAACTACTCACAAGGTTGCTGAAAACTCTAGCATTCACAACACTTTACATTTCAACGTGGCTCACGGCAGTCATACCTGCAAGCTGTTAAAATGGTTGGTCTAGTGCCATCCAGCATAACATGAATAGTAAGATAAAACTCATATGGGTAACTGTTTGCCGCCGATCGAGAAATCGACGTACGAAAGTAGTGTAGTGAAAAATTCCAAAAAGAACAGTAAGTGAATGGCTACAGAGGTTCCCGTAATCGTCTGGTAATGGGATTCCTGGAGGCTGGAGGCATGAAAAAGGCAACTTGCGCGATTATTTTTCTAACCGAAATTCAATTCAACGACTGGAACCAACCTAGACAGGAAATCCAAGAAGCACAGTACAACGGTATCAACCTTCGGTGCCATCAGGATCGTACATACAGCGACCTTACGGTTAGCAGTTGAATAGTATAACACTCATCCACGAGTGGCTGGTTAGCGGTATGATCAACCAGCACTTAGGAGGAAGCGCCACTCATTCTCCAACCACACAATTTCCGTCACAAAACCCTGTGTAGATTGGGCCCTCAAGTGACGACTTAAAAAAAGGCCAGGCAAACTGTGGGTTTCCCTTTCCCGAACAATTAATCAAGACAATCAAGGTCAGTCAGGGCAATCCGGGAAGAGTCAAGCCAAAATTTCCAGTTATCTGAGCTCCATTCGTGCCGTTGATTAATGGGACAGACTGTTTTCGCTAATGCTAGCAGCTAAGTTATGCTGAACACTTTGCTGGTTTGGTTTCAGTGAAAATGGGTTCAGATATAGGAGAAAGCAATATAGGTTTGAAGGATCAATCGAAGCGTACATTGGGCCGGGTCCAGTGTTCCAAGGACTAATATCCAAAATAAACATTGACCTCCACCACAAGCTTACAACAGACCTTCAATGAGTGGGTCAAATAAAGTGCGCGGTGCAAACTTATGCACGAACGCGCAGACCGCTTAAATGTATGCAGAGATTGTTGATGGCTACTGAGCATTTTGGTGAATGGTTTAGAGGAGACCCGAGTATAGCACAGTTCTACAATGAAATCCAAAAGACTGAAATGTGAATGAATAACAAGACGTGGCGTCCATATAAGTTAATCAATACAGCAATCACAGCTGTGACAACGCAGTTGATTAGCATTTGCTTATCAGGCTGGCTAAACAACAAAAACTTAATTTTTCGTCAGCCTTCTAGAAGATACTATAAACTCAGTGCGGGTGTGTGCTTGCGCGTTTCGGAAGGCCAGTGCACATTGGATGTAAACACAGCGAGACCTAACTCAAAAGGACTATCACCTTGCGCTTCATTCGATTGGCCAATCGGACGGCGTTTGGTGTAGATGTAGTGTACGACTGTTATGCTCGGCCTGATTCAGTGGCGTTGGTCAGTGGAGTTCGCATTGTGTAAAGCCAAAGTTCGACGCACGAAAAAAATACTAGTTAATTGGGAGGTGATAACAGTGAATCTATGGCCACTTGATCCGAAGTGAAAAGTGCACATCATAAATCCAGCGACAAAAACATAGGATCATAAACGTTTTTCGCCACAAATCAACTCCCGATAGGTAGAATTCGAGCTATTTCGGGCTAGCAGACGATAGCCACTACCAGAAACGAGGCTATTTATTTACAGGAGTATCACTTTGATTCACTGGCGCGAATCCTTCATAAAAAGGTGTGTCTATGGGGGGGGGGGGGGGGACAACGGGGAA